TAGTGTCGGAGAACCGCAGCCTTCTTTACAACGCTCACAATAGGGCTAAAGCGCCACCTGCTGTAAAACGAATGAAATGATTAGTACAAGATTCGTTCATTTTACTGTTCGAGAGTCAAAGGTATATATATATTTTTTTTCTGTTCTGTTTTTTTGTTTTGTTTTATGTATAGTGTCCTTGGGTGACTTGACTATTATATATATATATATATATAACTATTTATTTAGCTACTTAACAATTCAAACTGTTCCTATATTTAAACTATTTACATACTATATACATTGTTCACGTAAATGTTTCTTATAATCATACTTACTTTTCTTTTAAATATATATACCATAGACGTAATGTGGTATATTTTAGTATACATAACTCTAATTTACTTCAGTAATGTAGATTGCAATAATAAACACCACGCACAACGACGATAATTATCTATTAATCTACTACAACTGCTACTAATACTAATGCTAATCTACTACTCTTTACTTTACTAATCTACCACTTATATTCTAATACTAATATTCACTATCCACTCCAAGGGATTAATAAAGTCGATTCATAAATAATAATAAATCTTTCTATGACAAAGTAAAGAGACTTGCAACTCAAGTCACCTGCTGTAAAACGAATGAAATGATTAGTTCAAGATTCGTTCACGACACGCTCAATTTACCGTTCGAGAGTCAAAGATTCGAATCAATAAAAAAACAGTCGGTCTTTCCATCACTAGTGAATAAGGCTGCGCTGGAGAGTCAAAGATTCGAATCAATAAGAAACAGTCGGTCTTCCCATCACTAGTGAATAAGGCTGCGCTCATAAAGAAAAAAAGACTGACACTGTGCGCGTGTGTGAGACAGTGAGAGAGAGAGAGAGAGAGAGAGAGAGCAGTTCCCATTGCAAGCTGGTTAAACCGGTGTTTGAGCCTACAAAACTGACAGAAGCAATAACACCACCAACGACACTGTCGGATTCCAAAACCTCTGTCTACGCGTCAAAGTAATGCTGAGAGCCTTTTAAAAAAAAAGGTAAAGTAAAGTAACAGATAACCCTTCTGCCCAAAAACGAGAAAGTTGCGCAACGTAACTAAAATAAAAGGACAGGAGAAGAGCAACAAAGGTAAGACGTGACTGTCTGCTAATGCGTATATTTTGTCATTCTACATTTTTTCCAAAAAATGTTTAAATATTTGCTTAAGACCCTTTGCGCGAACTGTCCAGTCTCTTAACTTCGTTGGATAACTTTCGGAAAAACTGAGTCCCGAGTCCCCTGTCGGAAATCTGATATGTTGGTAGTCATTGTGTAAAAGTGTGGAACTGTCTGGTTTCACCAGCAGAAACACGTTTTGGCAATCTGTAAGGATCAGGGAGTGACTCAAATTTTACGGATATTCCTTTCGCCACATTTAGGGCTTCATTTAAAACAAACGAGTGTTTTGTAATGTAAAAACAAAGTTTAAACCAAGGGGTGTCAAAAATACGTCCTGCTTGGGGTTTCAATCCAGTCCACTTGATGACTTTTGAAAATACAGTGGAACCTCAAGATACAAACATAATCCCTTCCAGGACCCTCTTATAACTCGAGGCGCTCGTATCTCGAATCATTTATTCCCATAACAAATAACAGAAAAATGTATCCGTTCCGGCCCTCGACAAAACTCCCTTATTGGCCCGTACGTAGACACTTCTTGATTCCGTAACGTACCTTACACGTACGCTATGTAACTTACATAAACTTAGAATTAACTTAACTTACGTTTTTTTTTTTTTTTACTTTTCTATTTTTTTTTGTTGCATTTTTCAATTTGTATTCTTTCTTTGTATTCACCTCGCTCATATTTATCGACAATTTCATGCTTTATTTCCATAGTCATCATGCGTTTCTTCTTCTCATTACATTCTATTACATTTTTTTAGAATCGTTTTTGAGTTTTGACCATTGCTTTTACCATACAGTACCTTCTTGTAGTTTTAGTTGTAAAGTCGTAACGTACCTTCCCCGTACGCTATGTAACTTAAATAAACTTAGAATTAACTTAACTTATGTTTTTTTTTTTTTTTATTTTTTTTGTTGCATTTTTCAATTTGCTTTTACCATACAGTACCTTCTTGTAGTTTTAGTTGTAAAGTAAGAATTCTAAAAACACTGTCCCTCATACTTATAAGACAGTATCCACCTTGACTTTGTCGAGTGTTTAACAGGCTACAATTTGTTTGATTTCGCAGTAATTTAAAGGATAATAAAACTGAATTAACTACCTTTAGGGATGGACACGGAGCCCAACCTGCAGTTCCTCCTGCAGGGAGGCGATCTTCTCAAAGTCCGCTCGCCCAACTGGAAAAAGACTCGCCTCTTCAAACTACAGGAGGACTGTAAGACAATGTGGCATGAATCTAAGAAACCCTTCAAGACAAAGCAGACCTGTGAGTAGAGTATGACCTAAAAGCAAAATTCACACTCAACTCAACCAATAATGGCCCAATAAAGAATCAAAATTAAATAATCCAATAAAACGTACCATCATTTCCGGACTATTAGCCGCTATTTTTTTTTTTCTTCACACGCTTTGAACTCTGCTGCTTAAACAATGATGCGGCAAATTTGGGGATTTTTACAGGCTAGCGAAGTTTCCAACACTAGTGATCAATGATAATACAGACACCAACTTCCCTGTTTCTGTTTACCTCTGCTGCGGACAAGCACAAAGTGAAGGGAGTTAGCCCCGCAGCTAATGTTAGCATTGGCCCTGGAGCAGATCGCTAAGTCTCCCCTGTGCATTTCAACTACGGTCGGGGCGCCGAAGCAGGAAGGAGCTAACGTGTAGCTGTAAGCTGTGTTACAGACATTGTTTATTGTTAATTAAACTGTTTATTTAATTAAACGTAAAAAAAAAAAAATCGCAAAAAAATGTGTAACATCTTTCTGTGTAAATATCCCAAAATCATCCAACAGTACAAACTTTAGGACAACAATAAAACAAAAATTAGTAATCAGACACCTCTTTCCCCCAAAAGTGCTGCAGAACGTTGTGAATTACACGGGAATAGACAAATCAAGTTTTACTGTAACGCTTGGAGCTTCTCTGCTGTCTCCAGTCTCTCTTGAGGACATCGCAGCGGTGTGCCCTGGTCGCCAATCTGACGGCCTACGGAAGAACACAGAGAAGCAGGTTGAACAACGATGCTTCTCCATTATTTTTAAGGGACGTCACAAAAACCTAGACCTCATCGCCAGCTCACAGGAGGAGGCCAGGTTGTGGGTTCATAGCCTGGAGAAGATAATGGCCAAACTAAAGAACCCCGACACCCAGCAGAAGACAGAGCAGCATCCTTTTCATAATGGTTGTTTTTTTTTTGCGCCACATATCCGTATTTCAAGTAGGATTCCCGGAATTGTCTGTTAAATGACAATTCCAGACGTTGGCTCTTCTTCTGTCTCCTCACAGGCTTTTTTTACCCTGCACAAAAAAAAACTTTCTAAAGACGTTTGTTTTCTGTTCGTTTTGCTAGCTTGGGGGGGGTTTCAATTTAGCTGTTATGTATTATGTGTTACCACCCGGATCAGACCTTTTAAGAAGGTAACGGATGGTAGGTAAGACGTGACCAAGGCAAGCATCTTGCCACGTAAGTGTGAGTCATAGACAGATGCGGCAGAGAGAATCCGGTAAATTTTCAAAATAATTCAGAATCGGATAATAAATGAAACGGAAATAATATAAGTTATACATTCTTTCTTTGCGGCCCGGTACCAGTTAACCTACGGACCGGTGCCCGGTCCATGGCCCGGGGTTTGGGGATGACTGCTGTAATGTACATGCTGGTTTTAACATGTTCCTTCTTGGGGCCCATAGTGTTCCTTAAATTACAAACGTTTCAGTTGGATCATCACTCTCCTGAATAAAGCAGATATTAATAAAGACACTAAGCTGAGCCAGTCCGAAATAAAGGACTTCCTACGTCTCATCAACATGGAAGCAGACGACCAGTATGCAAAAGTGCTGTTTAAGGTGAAGTCCTTCATGCAAAATTACAGTCACCTTTTGTAAGAAATATATATATATTTTTTATAGTTTCTCTCTTGGTTACTTACTTTTCTTCCGTTCTTCTGTCATGTAGCAATGTGATACGTCTAACTCTGGATACCTGTACGGAGAAGACATCAAACACTTCTATGACCTTCTGACCGACCGGGAGGAGATCGACGTCATTTATAAAACCTACGCCCAAACCTCGGAGTTCATAAGTCCTGACAACCTGGTGGAGTTCCTGAGGAAAGAACAGAGAGAAAAAGCCGTGCTAGCAGACGCTTACAGGATAATCAACACTTACGAGCCGGATGAAAACGGTATGTATCTTAATTGTGCTCATCTGTGGCTTCAAGCAGCTTTGCCTCCTCTGTTTCTTTCGGCGAGGTCGTTCGTGTTGTTGACCTGAAATGACATGAAACATGAAAAACGTGTTTTTCATGTCACTGTTTTTCATGTCACTGCAAAACGTGAAACATGAAAAACATGTTTTTCATGTCACTGTTTTTCATGTCAAATCGATGCTAAGCAATGAATGAAAACTTTTTTCGCAATAAAGTCAAGCGGTGGATTATTCCCATACTATTGGCCGTTCTTTTGGTAAACTTCGCTAGCCCACCTAGCGACATCTGTTACATCAGTTTCCACGACTCCTTGTTGTCTTCCAGTTAAGACCAAAAGGCTTCTGTCCAAAGATGGGTTTCTCATGTACCTGCAAGATCCAGAGACCGCCGTCTTGAATCCAGACCACAGGGACGTGTACCAGGACATGACCAAGCCACTTAATCACTACTTCATCTCCTCTTCCCACAATACCTACCTAATGGAAGATCAGCTAAAGGGGCCCAGCAGCCCGGCAGCCTTTATCAAGTAAAGAACTCACATGTAGAACGCTCAAATCTGATCAGATCTATTTTTGTAATGATCATCATATTGACAACATTTAGCCATAATTATTTTGCTTGTTTGGATTGTCTCTTGATTACGATTTTGTAAACTTCCATTGATTGATCCATCCATCCATTCATTCATTCATTCATTCATTCATTCATTCATTCATTCATTCATTCATTCATTCATTCATTCATTCATTCATTCATTCATTCATTCATTCATTCATTCATT